TTATTACTGGGCCGCTGACCCCCGAACTGTTCATCTGTTGCTGCTGCTGCTGCTGTTGCCGTGGTGCCGGTGTTTCTATGGGATCACAGCCCACTGAGAGCTCTGCTACGGAGGCTCCTATAGGGCTCAGTCGGTCAGCGGGAGTTGCCATTGCATGCCATTCCTAATAATGGAGTTCCACCCTAGTGATATGAAAATTATATTTCACGACTACTGCATACCACCGCGAATATCGCGTTTCTCACCGAGTTTTACGACGCCAATTCCCGTAAAACGGGTGAAGCTCCAATATACTAACGAAGAATCCACTACGAGATAATGGGGTGGTCTAGACCGGTGTTGAAGAAATTCATGTTCGCTTCCCTCAGGTGAGCTCAAGAGTTTCCTCATTAATCATGTGTTAGGTGTAGATGTGTCAAAAAAACAACGAAAATTTCCCGAAATTTCCTCAGAATTTCACTACTGTCACCGACACATGTAGTTGAACATGTGCATATCCCCCCCACACTGGTCTTAACCAGAGATGAGAGAGAAAGGCGAACAGAGGGCAACTCGACTGGGCATCATATAGATGTGCCAATGACAAAGGACACAGAGCCTCCCGAAAAATCCTCACTTTCATCACCGGCCACTCGTTAGTCTCTCGATCATCTCTACCATCGGCTGCAGACTGGGACTCTGCCATTTTAGGAAGTAACTGGAAAGGGACGGAGCACCGATGATACCCCTCCACCTGACTGATATTGACAATTAACAATGTGGACTCCTCAGAAATGGTACAGCGGGCGAATCATGGGAATGTAGTCTTTATAAGGCCAGGGAGACAATATCATCTTCGAATCATCGGATCCCTGCCCTCGGGGGACGTAGCTGGTTTCTCGGCCAATCCAAGCGAGGGCTCATCCAGAGCCCCGCAGTGACAGGTGTCGGCGATCGAAGTAGTTGTAGGTAGCGTACCCGGTTTGGGAGATAACTCGACGGACGATATCGCCTACGAGAAGATCGCGGAGAAGCGCCCAACAGAACAGATAGATGAGTAGCCAAGACGCTAGACCACTTGTCAAGATGAACCCAAGCACTGGTACTTAGCCCGGGCTAGCATCGAGTACTCCAGAGTTCTTCGGACAATAACATCAATAGGGCTTATGTGGAGGATCTCACTCTCGACAGTATGAGAGGACCTACACAGCTGTCTGCACCCAGTAGTAGAGTGTACCCTAGACTAAGCACTGATGTTCTTATTCCTGATATGAGCCACTTGTATAGTGATGGTCACAATTAGAGTCTATATAATAGTAGAGTAGAAAACTAACTTCACTATGTCCATAAATCACCGATAAAACGATACAAACCTTACTCCGTGTGAGCGCACCCTGTGAGTGTGTACACAGCATACGACATGGTACTATCTGGATCTCCCAGCTTACGCCGGCTGAGAAGCACCAAGATAGAAGCACTAGTAGTAGTAAGGTGGTGCGCTCGAGAATAAATTCAGAACCCATCGCTTCGTAGAGACAACAACATCCATTACATCAACTACGACTCGTCAACTCAGTCAATTGCAACTCCGAATGCTTTGGCGAATCCTCGCGGGAGAGGAAAATTCCAGCGCGGAATTTCGTCCGAGCTCGGTATGGGTTCTAAAAACACCTCCTCTGAAAACCTATCACTCAGTCGTCACCCTCAGGATAGACAAAACACCGACATTCGGTCACTTTGAAAACTCCTCTGACGACATCGACTACGTCAATGTGAAGCTAATATTCCACATCAGTTCACTTACACCCTATGAGCTCCATATCCCGAATAGTTGATTTTTTCGGATTTTCCCAAGAAAAAGTACTCGCCTGATCTGCCCGAACATGGCCAACCCTCTACTGGAAATTGGAGTGACATAACACAACAGTTCACAGCTTGCCGCCTTCGTCATCATCAAGAACCACGCACATCTCCATGGTTTCATAATGCGGTGGAAGGCGTAATTGAACCTATCGAGCTTTCACACGAGGCGGCTCCAACTCTCGTGGTTGATAAACAAGAGCAGAACCGTTTAGTAGTGGTGGAATTCATCCTCGTCCTTCTCTCCTCCTTATTGTTCCCATCACAATTCAGCTCTAACGTCAAACCTAGCCAACGAGCCTGAAAAACACCGACAACTACTACAACCAACAGGACTATAAACCTTACTTTGCAAACACGGACGGCCACGTCTCTCCTCCGCACATTTCGTGGACACCAGAAGCCACAACTTTCGTGCCCAGTATGTAAGCACACTGTAGGACTAATACCCTTACGGTCCTACACCGCCAGTGGCAAGCGAGATTCTTCGTGTCGTGTTTATCGCTCGCAGCCATTGCTAGCCACGTATTGTTGCCTTTTCTTTACCCACCCGCAGCCACTCGGGACTTCCCGGCGCGAAGGGAGGTGACGTCATTCTGTATTTCGCACGGAACCGTGTCTGCAATATTCCCGCCCTGCCCCGGCGTCCGGGTTTCGGGTTCCCCCATCAGCACGTACATGTTTATATATTCCCATGACTGAGTCAACATGGTTTGACTTCGGGACTCCGAGTATAACGGGATAGGATCTTTTCGACACGAGGAATGGTCGGCATGCGTCTAGTGCTGATGGCTCGGACGAGGCATAGCTAATCTCCCTACGAACTGCCTGGACTCCACCAAGATACGGCACATCCCGAAGGAGAGTGCCAAAGGATAACCATGAGTTGCAACCTAAAAAATCGATACCACTCCTCCCCCACATCACGCTCGTGGCCTATTGCTGCTCACCTGTCTAACCTCTCCTTGCAGCTCGACCAATAGCCTCATCCATACGGAGTAGTCATGAGGATTGACAACTCACCCTCGACGTCTCACATGGCCCGGGCCCGATGCTACTGGAATCATCCTTCTTATCTCCTCGGAACAGTACACTTCCAAAGGGCAACCCTGTCACTGGATCATTATACTACTTAATGATTGTAACAAAGGACATAAACATCAAACTAGCAAGTACAGAGGGAACGTGGCGATAGCCGTTGAGTGACTAACGTGACATTGTGAATGCTCCCGAAAACTCGACATTTCATAGTTAGAAAAAAGTCGGAAAGTGCAAGGGCTGACTTGATCAGACCTCATTGATAGAGATAAGACCCATTTGGTGTCATCTCGTTGCATCCTGCGACCGATCGTTGTTGCCATCAATAACTGCAATGCAATCAACCACCAACATCCACCGAGTAGTTCACCGATACAGCAGAAGCTGATGAAGAACTCCGTCGTCGTCGTCGTAGTGGTCACAGAAAAATAATATGTTCGTTGCGAAGTTCAAAAATAAAGGTAATCATGGACGAAGCTCAGATATTGCAATAGTTTCCTACACACGGGACAGGCTTGAACCCAAAGGGTATGACTGAGCTCAGCGTGGGCTCATGCGACAGAAGGAATACAAAATGTTCACATCGGTTTGTGAACCCGTACCCCATCACTTTCTGCTTCCTAATTATCATGCTTGATATCCCACAATGGGCACGTTGGGAGTCCTACCGCCATCTGCCCCATCGCCGAATACTCGCGATCATGACATGGGAAATTGTGCTCATTCGCCGCCTTCTCATGCAGTGGCCTCAAAGGGTCCAATACGGGGCCCAAGATAACAACATCGTCCCAGCAGGAAGCACCAAGAGTAGAAGAAGCTCCTGAGGTGCTACCACTAGCAGCAGCAGTAGGAACTGCCAGAGAGTTTATATTATTGTGATATGCAACCCCGGCAGACGACGGTGATGTAACATTACACAGGTGAAGATCGAGGCTGACCGAATCCGTAGGCTGGGTAGTAGAAACCCCTTGCGAAGAAATGCCACTCAGATCAGTTGTGTTCATAGCCGAAGCCGAGCTGTCATTGCTGTTGTTGCTGCTGCTGTCCGCAATCAACCAACGATATTTCTCAACTCTATCAGCTATTGCTTCCTTTACATTAACATCAGATCGGCCACCTAAACACCTTTGACGTGTGTGGTTGTTGTTCCCTCTACTCCCCCTCCTCGACTTTCGATGCGCCTCGTCAGCTTCAGATATCGCCAATGCTATTCCTCCCATGCCAACATCCTCTGCGATTTGATATAATTGTGGTACTGTAGCGGAGCGTAACTGCATTATTATCATCATCAATAACTACTAAACTAAGAGTAATGACAACCTACTGGTGCTGTCCGATTAGCGACAATCCTTAGTTGAGGGAAAGCTCTTAGTCTCTTCGTTATCTCTCTTCTCAGCACATCTCGACCGTTGTTGCCCAAACTCTTCGCTCGACCGCCGCGTGGTAGCTTCTTCGCTGCCTCATTCTCCACCGCAGGGTCCTCCAAGAAGGATGTCGTGCCGATAGTGAAGTTCATGAATAAAGTGAACTATGGAGAGTTCGATGAATTCTACTCCCACGACAATAACTCGCGAATAGCACAGCATTTGCTGCCACTGCCAACGCCTACTATACAACAGCTCATCGTGGGCAAACACTATAGGAAGTATCGCAGCTGTAACAGTAGTAGACTCCACCAGTGGCATTCTACTATTATCGTACTTCGGCGAAACTATCATCATGAACTAGTTCTGATCAAACCACCAACAGCACCAGCAGCAGTAGCGACCATCCTGACCAACTCAAGAGCTCAGTTGTTGCAAGTCGACAAAGCGGAGCCAATTTTTACTATTCGGTAGTATGAGCTAAGTTGTAACGGTCTTAATGACCCTACGCCGTCCAGGACCCCCTTAAAACAGTACCAACAAGAGAGAGAGAGAATGATGATAATGAATTTACCACGGTGTGGTATGGCCGTTACATTCGACAATAATAATACCAATCTGCTATCCACAGTACTTAGCGGAAAGGAAAAAATTGAAAATACGAAAATGATAATAATACACGAGATCTGATTAAAACTCTGTAGACCTCCTCATCCTCCTCCTCCTCCTCTTCCTAATTCACGATTCCGGCGAGCCGCAGCAGCGAACACGGAGAAGTGATAATACCCTCCAATAGTAACAACAACTCGCGTGGCGACCAAATTCCACAAGTCTAATCGTACAGCTCGGACTCGACAAACTATACTAGATGCTCATGCGAACAACGAATATCCAATACGAACAATGGTGATAGCTACGTTACACTCTTCAATATTCTCGTGAATTAATGATGTAAGGCGATTGTGAAAAACTGTTAGTAGCTTCCTCACTAAGAGGAGTGGTGCTGGATGAGAACGTAATGATCGTAACGATTAGACCGGCAATAACGAAAAGAAACATTCAAGGGCGTACCTTCATAATTACAACATGAAATTTGCAGCCAGCATAGTCGACGTAGAGTCGTCGTCGAGTCCAAAGCTCGCTGCGAAGCCTCTAGGTTCCGACTTACCAAAAGACATCGGTGATGACAACCAACTCGGTAGAGTAGGAGAAGTGAAGGAGGCCGAAGTAGAGCTGTCCTGCAACCCAGAGGCCTCAATTGGAGATGGGAATAACGGCAGTTGTGGTTGCAGAGAATTGCTATTGAATATGTTCAAGTGAGGAGGATTGAGCGGAGCGATGCTCCCAACACCAGAGTTGTCCGACATCACATCGAGCATGGGACGCATATCCTCAACTCTATCATTCTGCTCATCTGCAAAACGGTGGTTCATCGTAGTCGTCTTCGTCGTGGTTAGCAACGAATCGGTAAGTCCGTGTCGATGAGATGCCTGCACAAGAATCATCAAAATCAACAACACGACTCACATCGGCGATTCCTACTTCATCATTTGCCGTTATAAAGGCGTTCCCTTTGTACGAAGTGTCCTCCTCCATGATACGATCCCAGACCTTGGGATCTTCCAAATCAATACGCGGATCCATAGCTCTGATGGCATCCTCAGCAACATCTCGTACACCAACGATTTCGCACATCTTCAACAACTGCTTCACCGTAGCAGATTTGACCTGAACATAAACCTGTTCGTTGGAAGAGTATTATCATCATCACTCACCGTGGCCACTTGACGACACTTCTCCCGCAGGTCAGGTCTGTCCATCATAGCCTTCGCAATAGCAGAGCGCACGAGCCGCCGACCGTTGTTGCCCAAGCGAATTGACCTCTGCCCTGTCAGTGATTTCGTTCGCGGTCTCCGAGGCTGTCTTTTAAATTGCCGTTTGCAACCACCACCACCACCACTTGCATCATCAGAATTGGACTTCCCTACTGGGAGGAAGCTGATAAGGCCACCACCCGTGGCCTCGTCGAAAAAAGCATTAAAATCATGAGGAGATGATGACGATGATGATGAATGCATATTCTGTGATGTAGCGAAGACAGACATATAAAAATCTGAGAAAATGAAAATACAAACGAGTGAGAACACTGAGCGTTAGATGCAGAAAGCCTGAATATTAGAGACGAATGCACCAGAGTGCAGCACAGACTAATAGCAAGGTCCAGACAACGATCACAGCCGGTGGTCATCCTAATCCTCATACGTAGCTACGGAATATGATGACACTAATATAAGCAGCAACACCAGAGTTTTACATGGAGCGCTGCTACCTCGTGTGACGAAGACTTTAGGTCTGCGGCGTAGCGAATAGAGCGACGAGATGATGATACAACAATAGTAGCTGGGATGCGGAAATTAAGTAATGACGACAATTATGATGCTGCATCCAAATGGTGTGGATAATAACTATTGTAATATCACCCACCAGGACCGAACCGTGACTTTTCAAGTGTATAATACTACAAGAGCTCCTGAGGCCGATGGAGCGACGACGACAGGTACAACAATAGCAACAACAAAACCTGCCATTTACAACGAGTTGTAGTGCTAGTAGTAGGAGCTACAATACGATAGAAATCGAGTTACTGTCAGCTCACAACGAAGCCACTTTAGCTGAATCACATAGGAGAGTATGAAAGCCTAACACTCAATTTCATACCGAGTCCCTGGATAACATTGAGTCAGAAACTCTCTGGCGGTTTGGATATATCGTCAATCAATGCCTCAACAAAACTTCTGCCCCGTTGCTCCTCAAGCCAGAAGGGGAAGTTCATCGTATCAAAGGTCCTATTATCGTTCACTGAAGTCGTGGACACTGCAGTGCTGGAGCCAGCCGAGCCGATACTTTGTGGTAAATTGCCATCCATAATGACGGAGCTTGTTCCTCGATTGTTGTTGTTGGTATTAGCAATACTTCGATGAGAATCATTGAGAGCGTGAGAAGCAGCATTCTCCTGGGAGATCTGGATGGCTTGATCCAAGGTGCCGGTAATAACACACATTTCCAGAAGTTGCGATTTGGTAGCTTTTTTTATCTGAAAAGGAATCATATGTTCACAATTTCAAGCACACTCAAATTGCAATAACAATCTCGTGGATGCTGAAATCATCCTCCCGAATTCAAACCGCGCCGTTGTCCCGGAAACACTACTCGACAAAGACAACTCACACAACCCAAGATTTGACCCCCCCCCCCATACACACAGAAACGACAATAAATTCCCCCACGAAGAACCCCATCCTGCAGTTACATCAGGTGCCACTGACTTGCACAGAGAACGCAGTTCTGGATTAGCGCGCAGGGCCTTGGAGATCTCCTTCCGAACACGCTGGCGTCCTAAATTACCTAGTGGCAGTCTTGGGTTAACAGGGTAGGGTGATACCATTAATAATAGGTAGAAAAGTATTCCTACGATGATATGATGCTATTGTACGCATACGCCAACCGGGAGGGTGAGTTTCGGTCTCGGCAGATTTGATGTAAAGTACGTAACCAACTCAGCAGCAGTAATTGTTCAAAATTGAGCTGAAGGATTATTAAGCGCAAAATTCGAAGTTGTCTAACACCATCGGCGTCACTGTCCAGAACTCAGAATGAGAGCGAGACGACACCCAACGTGGTGACGCGTGCAAAGAATCGAACGCGCGCGCCATTGTAATCGATTTAGTTCACTGCTGAGCATGATGAAGGCACCTTTCTCGCTCGCCCAAATAAAAATTCTTACTCTGCCCAAAATTCCACCCTGCCCAAAAATTCTCCCATGTGGTCTAGCGGTGAAAAAGTAAAATCTAAGGAGGATCTCTATTCTCCATTTTCTTAAGCGTACTGAGTAAGGTTAAGAAGTATTGCGTAGTAGGAGGGGTCCGCAAAATTAAAAAGAAAAGAAAGGATTGTTGGTGAAAGCGGAGAAAGGGAAACCCGAAACCCCACCCGAAACCGGACAGGGCAACCCGAAACCCGAACTGTTATCTAAGGCAACCCGAAACCCGAACTGTTATCTAAGGCAACCCGAAACCCGAACTGTTATCCAAGGCGTGGCTGTTATCCAAGACAACCCGAAACCCGAACTGTTATCAGCATTACCAAGCTGGCTAATTTTGGGCGCGCAGAAGAGAAATTTGGGCGAAAAGGAGAAAAGTTTGGGCAAGGCGGAAGAAAAAATTGGGCAAGCGGGAAGCAAACCCATGATGAACCCGATTGCCGATCGTTGGGCAGCTCTCAGTCTTAGTGAAATTAGCATCACGAAATTCACGGTAAATTTCCATGTTGAGCATACCACACTCTGCAAACATCTATAATTAAGTCGTCCACATCGTAGCCTATAAGCTTTGTTTCAGTGCATATATTCAGGCCTTTGCCACCCGTTTCGGAGCCTATTCATATACTGTCCATCTGTCTGGTGAACTGAGTGCTGCCCAAGAAAAAAATATATTCGCCCATCTCCCGTTCTCATTCGTATAGTCAGTGGAACCCCCCGTTTTCGGATACAGCATAGGGATGTCCTCTACAGAGGGTGCTCAGCAGCTCAGTGCTGGTCAGCGTTTTGCCAAGATGGGTTCTCGCGTTGGATCAAACTTCAAGCCTGGTAGTATACCTCTTCCTTTCAGTCGTCATTACTCTCATATTCAGGAACGTTTATATACTCAGCTCTATTCGGTGCAGCACTGGGTGTAGGTGTGGCTGGAGCCGACTACATCTTTAGGAACATTAAGGTTAGTTAGGGGGAAGAATAATACGCACATGGTCAACTACACGTTTCGGTGACAATTTAGTGACGTTTTTATTGCTCACTGTACTACACTTCTACCGAAATTTATATAATCAGCTGAGGAAAGCGAACACATGCTTTTCACTTCATAGGTTCGCTTCGCTGACAAAGAACATCTCATATTAATGAGCAGACAAAGGTAACACAGGGAAACCCCACTTGAATGGTTAACTGAGCTCTGCTGATATTCCGTCAAGTATCACTGTATCATCACTACTACAGGTACCTAGAGAAACAAGCCGTGTTTTATCAGCAGCTAGCCGAGGACCAACAGATGCATCGGCTTGCCAGTCTTGCTCAGGAGTAACACCAACATACAGCTCTGTCGGGTCGGTCTAGATATACGTATACGCAGATATGATCCTGTCGCTACTCGCATGCCGTTCGCTCAGTTAGAAGACAAGTACAGATTCTAGTTCTAAAGCTGGTTATCCAACAAATGTTGTCATTGAGGAACTCCCTTGTGTGTACAATTTTTCCAAGGCAGTTAGCTTGTGTTTTATGTAGTTAGTGGCTTGGGCTATAACATGGTCATCGATGAAGTCTGGACAATGTACAGTAAACTTATTCATAATATCACACCAGGTAAAACTCCTGAGCTTCGGTAATAGTTCCCTAAGGATCCTAGTGAATGAAAACTACAACTGTAACGACATTGGTTCCGCGGAAAATTCATTCAAGCTCAACTAGCCTAGTTTTGAAGGTGTCCGAAGGCATCGTCTTTGGAGTGGAGCGGTCCGGCCGCTTACCGAATCGCAGGGTGATTGGGGACATATAGCTGACTGATCGAACCTGTTCATCAGCGACGTATTGTCAACGGCTGTTGATCAGAAAGTGTAATACCATTGACGATGACGATCGTATGGATGACGTACAGGATGATATCCTCTGAGGAGGCTACTTTGGTTTGAGAGGTAGCTGCTGATGTTCCTTGGAAATCGAAACCTGGTTTCGGTCTAGCGTTAGAGACAGCTAATACAGCGGCACACAATAACACTTGATGGAAAATTATAATTTTCTGTGTTACGCTTGGGCTCGTTGTTCCACAATCCAGTTAGTATAGAATTCAATGTTTTCCTTGTGGTAGGCAAGTTTCACTGCATGTAAGAAAGTTGACAGACATAAACGCGAGGAAACTGTTGTTAGTTGACGCGGTCTTCCTACGGGAAGAGGTTTTGCCAGTGTTGGAATATATGTTCCTCAGCTGAGCTCAGGAGCTTCCTCGCTAACTATAGAAGTTTACTTACGAATTTGAATCCAAGTGTACAGAAACCAATGAGAAAATCCCAAAATTTCTCCATAATTTCCATATTGTCACCAACGCACGTAGTTGACCATGTGCGTATTCTCCTACACTGGGTGCTGCTCACAAGCCAGGTGAGACTCTTCGCTGTTGGTCTATTGCCGGTAGAATTATTTGTACAAGTTACATGGAAAATGGTACGCATGATTTTTCTGAGGATATTCTCAAGTCGAGCGGGGCTGGCGTGTAATCGAAATTATGGTAAGGAAAATAAATTTGGTTAACGTATCAGATTGTTGGCGCAGTGATGATCAGAACATTGCCAAGGTCTATTCTCGATGATTTTTATGCCGTCCGACACGCCAGATGGACCACTTTGGGGTGCCTGGCATTATATGGGGTGTGAAGTTCATCTATGCAGTTTTCTACTTCTACTTCTCATTCAATGTTATCACAATTGCACTCATCGAATTTGCACACTCTGAAGGTTTGCAGGAGGCTGGTGCCTGCCGTAACAAATGCATTGTCGCGACCACATATACAATCGGACGGCGTTTGCGGTGTTCCTCGATTCTTCACCACATTGGAAACTGATGACTCTGTTGAAGAAAAGATGCGACTAAAGCGACAAGAAATGGCGGAAAGTCTCCGAAGGTATACTGAGGTGAGTTCAGGTCGTGGGAACTGTCCAGGGTGCTTCGCAGGGGGACTCAGTGTTGATTCAATCAATCTGCGTTTCAGAATACAGGCATAGACCCTGAAGTGGACGATGAGGAGGACGATCTGGAGAAGGGAACATTCACCAATGACAACACGGACGAGTTGGCAGAGCTGTGTATGCGCAGGTGAGCACAGTTCGTTGAGTATAGTCGCAATCTGGGCGCATGAATGCACATCTATCGCAGAGTATTATGACTTGAGAATTGAGCTCTTCTCTTTGATATTCATACAGGGACAAGTGCCTGTTGGGTAGATATAGTTTTAATGCACTTATACCCTTCCAGCTGTCTGAGTTGATGGAGTTTCTGACTCTGAGCATGGTGTTGCTCAGATACAGGTTTTACGATCCAGAGGGTATGACTGAACGGAGACTAAAAGTCTTAGTAAGGCAGGTGGTTTGTGGACTCCTGAAGATTTCGTTGAGTAAAGCTTATCGTTTGTTTGTAATTGAGAACATGTTGATCCAATAGTTTTTGCAGCCGCCGACTGCATTCACTCGGCTATAGAGAGTGGTGCAAATGGCTACTTGTGGTATTGTACGTATAGAATGTATACATACACTAGCACAAGCCATTTTCCTTTTTCCCTATACGGTAAATCTGTTGGAATTTATTATGCATACAGACGCCCGCTACCTCCAAAGAGTCGTTCTTTAAGAGTGGAAAATATAGCAGATCTAGTAGGAGTGAATTCGAGATAATCATTGGTTACATTTTATGTGTGTGCATATGCATGGAACAATAAGACACGTGCATAAACAACTTATAGTTTCCGATAAGGATGTAAAAGTTTCAAGACATTTTGTTTACTCGACTACTACAGTAGTTAGATGATAAATATATCCTGGAGAAAGGCTGGCCTATAAAGCTACGGTTGCATCTGTTGTAGATGCCCGTAGAACTGTGCTTAACACAACAGCACAGTTGAGCCGAGAGGCAGAATTGTACTTGCGTACACGGCAATAAGAAAAAGCTATGGCAAATAGATCATTCACGTGCGCACATGTGGCGCGGCACAACCTATAACGGTATATGCATCGCAGCATCTATGGAGGCATAGCAATATCACAACAGCATCTGTAGTCGAGTGACATTTTCTGGTCTTTCCTGGTATCGCCCCTTCCCAGCATCGTGCACTGCTCAGGTCAGTAAGCTTCCACAATACCGACCCAAGGAGAGTGATGCTGTACTGACTGCTTCCCAGTTGACCAGTATCCGACAAAAATGGGTTGCCCTCAGACGAGAGGAGATCGATAAAGTGACTTATGAGAATTTGTCAAACTATCAGCCCTAGGCTGCAACATTCACTGCATCACTGAGTTTCTGTGATCGTAATGTGTGGCATAAGCCAAGTTTCACTCGAACTTCCAAGTTGTTGTGGTTTTCACTCTGGTGTGGCTCTTCAGTGAGAGTACACTGTCAGTTGAACTGGGACTTGGCTGTGACTCATTCTGCTGGTGTTACAAGGAATATTCCAAGGCAATTTGGGGCTTCTTTCCTTCTCCCACCGGCCCTCAATAATGCTAGCGGATCGTTGGGTGAATTTGCTATTGTTCGGGAGTTTTGTAACTCGGATTTGGCTGTGTTGATACAACACAATTTTTATGGGGTTTAGAGAGGGTCCCCTTTGTTGATAAGGATGAGTCTGAACGCATATCGATATCAATGAGGAAGAGCAAGAGATCCCGTTTGCTGGGCCGTTTCTCCTCCAGGAAACCGTACTGTATAGAAGTCGGGACTCCCGATCATATCATTTTTGTTTGCGCGCGCCCCGCTAATCGATCCGATGTTTTCCATTGGAGGGGTGTGATCTTTCATCCATATGAGCTCAAGGTGGGAATAATTCTCATTTAAGAGAAAAATCTTGCGAACCTCACGAGAGAAATGAATCCCCATCATTACAGGACAGTCGATCATAATATAGTATGCCTGGTATATTAGAATCGTATTGTGGGGCTGGACGGCGGTCGCTGGCCAGGTCACTCGGGTGGTAGCAGTACTTCGTCACTATGTTCTACCGTCACATCCCTTTCACTCACTATGTGATAGAAGGACCTCGTAAAAGCAGTAGGTATTCGGCCGTATGCCTCGAGGCAAGGCCCTGGGCTCGATCATCGAGGACCTTCACCCTTGACTCAAGAGTGATGTTAGTTGAGTTCATTAATGCTGTCGCAGACTTCCTCCAGGAAATCAGTCTGCATTGGTATAGCGAGGACGATATATTTTCGGGGGGGGGCTGAGTCGTTCAGACATTACGCATTCAGTGTGTGGAAACCATCACCATTAGATTACATTTCCATCGCTGTCGAATTGCTCTGCAGCAGTTCCCTTGAACTCTCTCATCGAGATGTCCTTCCCAAAGAGTCGTCCAGGGAAGGCTGTCTCCGTAGCGATATCATAGTGATGGATCTTACTGATCATCTGCAGTGTTTGGGCCAAAGGCCAGACGACTTCATCTTCTCCGGGTCTACGAATAGAACGGAAGGGGGAAGGGCGGTAAACGACTTTTCTCGGCGCGCCTCATGAAATTATCTCTTGAAAAAAGGAGACATTGCAGTTCGAATAAATGCCTAAATTCAGGGTACGCTTGGCCGCTTGGTCGACCAGGCTTGCAGTTGGTATCAGGAGTAAGGGCCATGACGGGAATATGTAGCACTTTCTATGATGCTGAGTCCTTATATAAGGGATTAAGGCACAGTTGCATGTTCCCAGCTTGTGCGCTCGACTATGTTGAATCGAAGGAACGAGGCATGATGGTGGGGTCTCTTTGGAGAGTGGTGAATATCGGATTTAGGCGGCCGAGGGATAAAGGACAGCTGTTATGTTAGATCTCATCATGTTAACGTATTTCCGCCCAGCTGAGCTGTCATTTGAGTTTGTCAATGCCATAATGATCTCGTGCATTGCCGTATTCTCAACTCTGCTGTCGGGGTAGCAGCGAGAGATAAGGATTGTAAGGTTTTTATAGACTCTAGTATATGCGCCCTCCCCCTGCTGGTTCTCTTTCTTCCCACGCTCGACGGTCCTCGGGACACCAGGCTTCAAGAGCGGCAGCCGAGTCGGCTTTTGTAGCTGAGAGGGAGGCACAAATTGATTCATTGGTGAGGAGGATCGCTGAACAGAGGCAGCTTGAACAGGAGCTTCGTATCAATATAGAGGTGGTGAAAGTGAAAGGGAAATATGTGGTCATTGAAATGTGTGCAGAACTTGGAAGCGGAGCGAAGTCGTGAAAGGGAAGAGGCTAAGGTTCGCTTGGAGACAGTTGAAAATGAGGTGGAGGGGTTTTTGCGGCTAAGTCGGGGTGTATCGTTGGCGACTCAGATGAAAAGCTGGCAGCGAAAGCATGCGGAAGATATTCAGCAAGTGCAGAGATTACGCGATGAGAAGAAGGCAGCTGAAACGTGAGAAGGTTGGATGTTGGCGGGTTATTAATGCGGTGTGTTTTGAGGTACCACGCTGAGAGGATGAGTGCAGCTGAAGCGAGGTCTCAGAAGCAGGAGACGGAGATTGACGTACTTCGACAAGAGCTCAAGGACGCTGAGGCAAGGGCACATGTAAAGCTTGGCGCTCTGTAGTGCTTGATGGTCATTGCGATAGAGTGAGTCTCGGGAGAGAGCATCGCTGGCGCGAGCACTGAGGACTGCTGAGGACCGTCTTGGAGGGGCAGAGGTCGAGGTAGTTCAACTGAGAGCAGATCTAGATGAGATCTGCCGTGAGAACTCTGAGTTGAAGGACCGGTAGGGTCGACTTGTGCTGTACGGTGTGTATGGGGTGTTGTGAGATACATGACAGCAGGGGAACGGTTCGAGAGGCTTATGGAAAGTGAAGAGGAGCACACCAAGGAGCTGACCAAACAGCTTGAGGATGATGTAAGTCGGGCATAAAACCTTTGATGTTACTGGGGGGAAATTACTTGCAATTTTCCACGTATGGCTAGGAACACATTCTTCAAACTAGTTTCCCGTGTACATGTCATCATCACATTAGTGGCATTTTATCCATTGTTATCAGACCAGGGGAACGTTATCTCTCAAAGTTACATGCGCCCCTGGGCATAATTTTCTGATCGAGATATGCCACGTAGGTTAAAGCCGCTCGAGAGAAGGCTGAGAGATATAAGACCAAGCTGCAGAAGAGTCAGAGTGGTGAAGCGCAACTACGAGAGAGTCTGTCTCGAGAGCAGAGTAGGAGTAGGGATCGAGAAAGGGAGGTCGATAGGCTCATGCGAATGGTCGAGGATGAGCGGACAGCGTAATAGGGATATATAGCCTTGGGTCTTGGAGCATGCTAGATGGGTTAGGAAGGAGAAAGCCCTTGCTGAGCTAAGCCGGGAGGAGATGATGCCGGCTAGGGTACATGAACAGGTGGTTGCTGACCTAAGGTAGGAAGGTTTGTAGTCTTACATGGTGGCAGTGTTGGACGTGTATAGGCATCAAGCGGCGATGCAGTTAGAGGATAAGGACCGGACGTTGAACGAGCAGTGGCAGCATAGGTTGAAGGATAAGTTACAGTCGCAAAAGGTGGAGAGAACATTTTGAGGGAGGTCTAGGGGGACCGACTCCTTGTGTCAGAATGAAACCGCTAAAACGATGGATCGTATACGGGAAGGGATAAAGGATTTGGACAAGCAGAAGGACGAATTGAAGGGAGAGAACGATAGGCTGAAAGACGAGAAACGACAACTGCAGGAGCATGTTACGGCGCTGGTCGATAAGTAAGGGCAGCTGAAACTTTGAGAGGTAGACAGCGCTGGTAGGCTGGAGACGGTTGAGAGGGAACGACGCTTGTTGGAGGACAAAGTGGATGAGGTCAGTGAAGAGTTGGAGAAGAATAAGTAGGAAGGGAAGGGCGTTACCATAACTTGGAATATTCCTGTTGACTTAGAGCGTTGTACACGGTTGAGATGAATAGAGGACTGCAGTACCAGGGAGAAGTGGCGAGGCTGCAAAGGTGGGGGTGGGTGGTTAGTGAGTTATTCGAGGATGGTCGTAGGAACGAGCAACGACAGGAGCAACAGGTTGATGATTTGAAAGCGGAGGTTGACAGGTTGCGGCAGACTCATGGGGAGGCACAAAGGATATTGCAGGAGAATCCTCGACTGAAGTGAGTATTGGAATGGGGGGAAATTTGGATGAGGCGTGGTATGTCAGGGGAGAGATAAGCTCGCTTACTGACACTGTGAAGGCGCTTGAGCGGCAGGGGGCCGAGGATCAGGATGAGATCCGAGCTTTGCAGAAGGACCTCAAGGTGAGATGCTACAGGTGATCGTCGTTGGTGACTTGTGGATTAGGGGGAGAAGAGGAGGTGTAGTCGGCTGAGTCAGGCAGCTGCGATGACTAAGAAGAAGTGAGAACTGTAGGGCAGGTCGTAGGGGTTATAGTGTGTTGAAGGTTGGAGGAGCCAGTGAGAAGACTGAGAGAAGATTTACTAAGTCTTCGCTCTGAGGCTATCACCTACTTTGACTGGACCGCTGGTGGGTTGAACGCTTGTTAGTGCGAGCCCTAGTATGCTCTCTGTATAGACTGGATCGCCACTCGATTACGAGAAGTGGCAAGCGAATATGGCTCGGCGGCCCATGTGCAGCTGACGAGGCATGCGGCGATGTTGAAGGACGTGACCAGTAGGCTGGAGGAGTCGGAGGGGCGTGGGACTAGGTTGAGGGAGGAAGTGGAGGTGGGGTCTGGCTGGGCGGGAAGGGATCAGGACTGGGAGCATGTTCAGGGCTTGAGGACAGCGACTGAGGAGAAACATGAGGAGCTGATCGCATTGAAGTCAAAGGAAGCTGCTTCTAGAGCTGCGTTAGCCGTAAGTGAAGTCATGAAATCGTTGGTGGTGAACTAGGGTCGAGGTCGCCTCAGGCAGCAAGGGAGCATATTGCGGCGATGGTTGGGGTGATGGATAGAGTTATCGACATGCCGGAGGATGAGAGAATGGGGGAAGAGCTCGCTGATGCCCTTGGGAAGAGTGGGTCGATGGGATGGGTTGGGTCATAGCTTTATAACTGGCAGTGTGGGAAAGTATGCATATGGTCAACTACATATGTGGCCGACTATATGAAATTTTTGAGGAATTCTCATCGGTTTCTATACATTTCTCCCTCACTTCGTATGTAAGCGAGGAAAATTCCGAGCTCAGTTGAGAGCGAACATATGTTCCAACACCGATAGCAGGTGATACATTCCGGCATGTGCTGTCGCGGTACGATGGCCGTGTGACCAGAAGGATCTCATCGCTGATGAAAGAAGCTCAGGTTAGTCGTATGGTGTTGGGGTGACTTCATTGGCTTACTCTCAGGGGGAGGCGGACTCGTTGGCTGCTAGTTGTTTGGAGCTTGAATACCGCTGTAAGAAGGCCGAGGCGGAGTTCAGGAATCAATCGTAAGAACGCGGACTCTCGAGGGCATGGCTAGTCGCCCTGAGCAGGTCGGTGCGATCGAGTTTGGAGACTATGGCAACGCAGCGATCAGCGGAACTGGAGGGAGCGCTTGAACGGTGGGTTGGTTGGGGATAGCAGTGGCGTTAATATCGTCAATTGCATGCAGGGCTAAAGCCTTAGAACATCGCTGTCGAGATCTCGAGAAGAATGCGAGAAGTGCTCAGGCGGACTTCCATGACAAGGTGGTGGAGCTGCCTCCACTTTCCCTGGCCCCCCTATGTTATGTTCAGATGCATGCTGCGGTCCGTCGAACGAAGGACGGCCTTCGTGCTGAGATCGATGAGTTACACGCCCAGATGGTTGACCTTCGAAGGCAGTTTGAACAGGAGGCGGCAAGAGTTAATGAGGAAGCTGCGTAGGATAGAGGGGCCACTTCCATTCTGATCAAGCCACTCGTTCTTGTTGTTGTATGGATGTCTTCAATGTAGGGCCAAAGCGGCGGCTTTCAAGCGCAATTGTGAGGAGAAGCTCTCAGAAGAGCGGAAGCAAGCGTCAGCCGATGTTGACTTGGCGAGGAGGGAGAAGGAACGAATAGAACATGAGAAGGTAACGTGACAATCCGAAGACCTGTTCGCTGTGCAGCTCGGTGAATTGGGCTCATTGAGCGGAGCGAAGTTGGTCATCTATTCGAATACGGTTGTTCAGAAGCGTGTGGAGGAGCAGCTACATGCAGTAGAGCGGGAACTATCACGAGTGCTGGGTGAGAAGCAAGAGATTGAAGATGAGACTCAACACATACGAAGGGTGAGTGACGTGATCCGTGCATGTTGATATGATCTTGTTGTTGAAGGCACTGAGTACGGCTGAGAGACGCCTAGAGAAGGATGAGGACACGATCAAGGCTAAGGATGATCAGGTTCGTTGCCGATAGGTCTGATCGGAATATAAAATCTGGATTTTGTATTAGGTTGCTAAACTGAGTCAATCGAGGAGTAGCGAAGTTTCACGGCTCAGAAGGACTATAAATGAGCAGAACGGCGAGCTGGAGCACTTGAAAAGCCAGGCTCGGAAGGCGCGCGAGAGTCGCGACTCGATATATCGTATTATCTCCCAGACAGCTGGGCGACATGGTATAGGTGAGACCAGTGCAATCTGCAGTATCATATTGGGTAGGCTTGTGTGCCTCTTTAGACATGGCGCGGTCAACAGCAGGAGGGAGCAGCCCACGTGCTTCCATGGGACGGATGAGCTATCATGGATCAATGGAAAAGAGTCCACGAGCTTCAGCGTCTATGTCGAGGAGCCCGATGGCTTCATTGGTGGAGACCACTTCCCCACACTTTACGATTTCGCCGACCCTCCCCAATAGGGGTACGGCTCTCTACCAAGAGGAGTCTGGGATTTGCGTCTTATTGTTGTTCTTCAGGACCGGATGAGTCGCGTAGATCACCTGTAACTCCCCCTCGTAGAAGGTCAACTGGCATGAACCGGGCATCTCACGAGTTTGAGGCGTCGAGCCATTCTGTGGCTTTGAGTCTCCCCTCGGAGTCGGTCCATAGGTGTAGATCTTTGACCGGTGAAGGTCGATCTGAAATCAGCCGCGCAGTGAGCGCTCAGCTGGACAAGACCCGGCGGACTTTGGAGCAGTTGAAGAGCGCCGAGCGTGGTTCGCGCTAATGTGACTTTTTATATGATGAGCCTTAGCCAGAGATACAGTACACTGATCACGTCCCATGTTGATAATTCATCCTCCCCCTTGGGTTAACCACATGATGTCTTGTGTTGAGTCATAGTGGGTCAGTACGACGATGTTATTCGCCGTGAACGAAATGGTCCACAAACACTCGTTTATCACCGCGCAGATCATCGTATGTGAACATATCGGAAGTCACCATGTATTGAACCCGCGACTTTGCGCATGAAAGCTAAATGCCATAATCTCTAGACTGTTCAATCTAGAGGATGCTGCAACTGTCGCGATTGTTGGTGTGTGAGACGGCCTCACTCATATCTCTATCCTGCACTAGCCAAGCGCAACTCGACCTTCCCCGTTACAGAAGTACTCTATAGCCGGGAGTGTAGGCACTTGGTCCAGGGCGAACCATATACTTTAGCGCACGCCCGATAGCCTGCGACAAGCAAATCGGCCAGGACGCGACCTGGTAGGTTCATCAATGTTCCTTCATGAGCGTAGCTGCTCATCGCACTTTCTTCTTCGTCAATGCAGCCTTCAGTGGGGGCGTCTTAACACAAACAACGCGAATGTGATTGATCCAATGTTCTTGGACTTGAAGTTGACAGTCATTGAACGTGCAGTGGTTCCTTTTCCCATTCACATATGGCGACTCGGCCAGAGCATATAGCCCCACCAGAGTTCTTCTATGATGAGGAAATGGCTGAGAAGTAGTGCAGTGCCGATCCGTCATTTTCAAAGCGAACACATCTTCAGCGAGTGGAATGGTACATGGCTCAGGTACGCGGCGAACAGCCGTATGATCGACATCCAGAGCAAGATGACTGAGAGAGCAATCGAGTTGATGATGTTGAGTGACGATGAGCCCAGCTTGGTGAGCATAGTTAGGCTCACCTTCTCCTAACTAAGGGGGCATGGTTCAGGTCCTCGACGTAGGAGTAGGGTCGGGGATCTCTGGAGGGGTCCTTGGAGACCATGGTCATTTCTTTGTTGGTCTGGATATATCATCGGCTATGCTCAACGTGGCACTAGAGCGAGAGGTAGTATTAAGGTCTTAGGATTAGAGTATGGAGTGGTATTCTATGCAATAACAAGGAAAAATTGTATGGGATGGGGGTATTCTCATTGCGTCATCTTACGAGTGATGCTCATTGACCATTGTTAGGTCGATGAGAGTGGTGATTTCCTCCAGGGAGACATGGGCCAGGTAAGTTCTTGTGCTTCGCGACGCTGGTTTATTAGACTCCCTTCATTTCAGGGCTTTGGTTTCCGACCGGGCACTTTCGATGGATGCATATCCATTTCTGCTCTCCAGTGGCTGTGCAACTCTGACGTCAAAAGTGATTACTGGTTCATCGACAAGCTCTATGGGGTTTTCAGGTCATGAGCCGTATCGACGGCTGAGGAAGTTCTTCCAGGACTTGTTCAATTGTCTAAAAAAAGGCGGCCGAGCAGTATTGCAATTCTACCCTGAGAGTGGCGAACAGGTGTTGCGAGGGACCATTCTTGTTGTGGTTAAGACGTTATTCGATCAGGTTGAGATGATCACCAGTGCCGCTATGCGTTCGGGTTTCGGAGGTGGCCTTGTGGTTGACTTCCCTCACTCCTCGAAGGCCAAGAAGCATTTCCTTGTACTATACGCCGGTAATAGGAAAAGTGGGAGGGACATTTTCAAGGCATGTGTGGTTACGCGAGTGGAGAGCCGTGCTGAACACATTCTTCTCTGGATCGCTGAAATTGATCCTATCGTTGATTGTCATTTTGTTCGACATTCCCTCCGTGTTAGAGGATGACGTCGATGATGATGTTCGGAGTTTATGATATAAAGTACTTTTAGCAATACATCATAGCAAAGTCGAAGCAGATTATACTCATGAACATGTGATACTCTTATAAACGAATATTAATGTTATGAACACACAGGATACTGATAATTATATTAGGTTTCAACGGAGCAGTGCCTCAAGGCCTGACTGGTGCTGCTGGTGGTGGTGAAGCAATGGCTGAGGGCGACTCAGCAGTGCGGAATGCTGGGAGGATGACTAGAAATAGGGGCCTTAGGAGAAGGGATCAGATACATGAAGGGAGAGTAGTGATGTTGGACAGCCATGGGGGTGGGTCATGGGATGTCCTCAGGCAGCCGTTAAGTCTCGGAGCTGGATCCAGGAGAAGAAGGAACGACATCGTGCCCAGGGTCGTGATGTTAAGCATGACTCGAAGTAGGTCCCTGAAAGACTAGTCGTACGGCTTACTCGGTCTTGACTTAGGTACACTGGAAGGAAGAGAAAGCCACGGTTCTGAGCAGGATGGTCGTCTTGGTGTATTGTACGTCGAACTCCACAAGAACTTCATTACGTTGATATCTACATATAGTTTCTACGGATTTCCTCAGCAGTTTAGTTCTGGTTTATTTCGATCAGTCCGGAGCACCATTGAAATGCTCTTGGTTAGTGGTAGTTAAGATATGCTCTGTGGCTGGTAAGAAGGGCACCAAGAGGAGGACGATATAGCATATGAATGTGTGGTTGTTGATAGTTTGTTTGTCTCTATCTTAGTTCATGCCGTCACACGCTGGTTTGTGTTTCACCCGTTGCAGTCCTAGACTGCTCAACCTCGCGTCAAGGGGAGTCGGAGTTAGCAGTAAGAAGTGCATCGTTCCACTTCGTAAAAGTGCTGCAAGAAAGCCTTGCAAAAAAGTTGTGAAACGCAGAATTGACGGGCTGAAGGTGGCGGCTCCTCACAAGGCGAGGAAGATGCATGAAGGGTCTCCATGTGTTGAAGCTGAGGAAAGCCGTGGGTTGGCTCCAGCAGAGAGTCCTGTTATGCGGAGAAGTAACCGTTCTACTGTCTGGGAGGTTCTTGAAGGGCGCATTGTTGAGGTGATAGGGAGTTCACATTGGGCATGTTGTTCTGGAGGGGTGAATGCCACTAGTCTTGATCATAGAATGCTATATTGATCGTCTGAGTAGTGCTTGAAAATGTAGTTACTGGTTATGGGTATGTGATTTGGGAAAGGTTTTTTTGGTGTAGTGGGGGAGCGTAGGTTTCTGCAAGGATAGACTGTGGGTTCAAGTCCTGCTGGTGTCATTTAGTGAACTCAATATTCTCTCCGAAGCACAGTGGAGGACTATGCTTATTTTACTTTTACTTGAGTCCTCTCAGATCTGCCCAACCATGGGTGTGATGAGGCTCGCGAGTTGTGGAGTGCCAATCCGGCGTAGTCGTAGACTCGCTGGCACTGCGATGACGAAGCGCGGAAATGCAGCCACTCGGCAGCTCTACTTGGTGAAAGTGAAGTGGTCCCTTGTCGTGGCTACTCGTCAATTCTGACAGGTCCATGAAGTCGTTGCGGATTATAGGAAATGCCTCGGTTACTCATTGTTCATGAAGGACTTCCCCTCGTGCGAACTGAAGATGCTGTTCGAGCGCAGTTTTTTCCATGGGAGCAGTATGCATTGCGCTACTTTATGTGTAAATGAGAGCAAGCCCTACAACAGCAGCATTGTGGCATTAGTGTCGTGTGAAAGGTATTTGAGGAAGAGGCGAGCAAGTCCCGACCAGTCGTGCTCGGTTCCTGTCTCTACCGTTACGACTCGGTGGCTCGAGATGCCATGATTTTGCTCTTCGCCACCGCTGATGAATTGAGGTTTAAACGAAGTAGGTTAGCACGCCTAATCTTGCACTGTTTGCTTGTTTCTTTGCGAAGTGTCAAACTTGGGTGCGTATTGTCATTCTTGAATAAGCTTGTATTAATGTTGTACTCTACAAATCGTATGCCCTAGATGAATGCATATCGTCGAACTTGCTCCAGATATCTCCTCCTTGTGTCAAGCAGGAATACCTATTGTCATTCTCTGAGGAGAAAGTATCAGTCTTGGACTCAATAGATCAAGAGTGTGTCGAAGTTCATCTTGTGAAACTTGCTCTAGAGGCCTCCCCCTGGTGTCAAGCAGGAATACGTATTGCCATTCTTGGATGGGAAAGTGTTAAACTTTCACTCGATTAATCAAGAGAATGCCAAACATGAATACGTATTGTCATTTTCGAATGTGACACTGACATTGTTGCCTGCACGTATTTGTCAAACTCGCACGGGAGATGGTATAGGCCGATGATTGATGCTGCCCAGCATGTTCTTAGGTCGTTCCACGTTCTCCTCCAGAGGGCAGGGCTTCGGTCGGCTCCTGGATCGCATGCTGTGTGTATGGTTGAGAGAACATCGGGAGTGTCGATCAGTCTACGTCGAGATGCAAGATGAGACTGTGGCAAAGTTTTGGGCTAAGCTTGGGTACTAAGGGGACCTTTATGGCGCTCGTTATGGTGACTGATGTTGATCTCTTAGATACGATAGGTTGAGTAGCCGCATTGATATAACTCAAACCATTCGAGGGTTCGAAGGCACCGAATTGGCCCGCAAGAAACTCGGATCTTGATGGCGCGTGGCAACTAGGCTTCCCACAGTGATGGCTTCATCTTGGACGATGCAAGGCCCTGTGTATAGTAGATGAATACCAATCTTAATTCGTTCATAATGTACGTCGCATGTGGTTCCTACTGGTAATAATACCCGGGCTGGGGATCGAACCCGGGTCCTGTATAATGACCTATATCTGATACTTTTGCCGTATCAGTTGGCTTGACGACTTGTAGATTATGTTAGACTTAGCAACTACACTTAGTATATTTCCAAGCGAGACACCTTCGCCGCAGCGGGTGACGATATTGATCATCTTGTTGTGTTCATATAGGGATACTCTATATCGCAGCTAGTATGTGATTGAACCCTCATGACGGGCGGTGGAAGGTTCTTCGGTAAAGAAGTTTTCAATCCCAAGTTCATATGCATACAAATACTGGCTATGCAAGTGAGAATAGAAACTCTCATTCTCTATGAAGAGTCTCATTTTAGGCGTGTTATTATCTACTACTGGTCTCTGGGGTATGCATCTTCAACCAGCTTTGTGGAGTGCCTGTGGCACTGGTAGTGACAGAAGTCGCGTGCTGGTGAGCGGCGAAGTCTTAGTCTTCAGAATCGACTATTCCGAGATGATAATATGGGGTTTGCCGATACCGAGAGCTCGATATTGACTATAGTTTTAGTTACAATGAGCCCTCTGATGTAAGTGCAGTGGCATACATTGTATGGTATCACTGGTCTTGTTTAGGTCTATAATATTAACCTATGTAGTCGAGCGCGCGAAGAAGTGCCTTGATTTCGTGGTGACATATCATATGTGGCATCTGGTCTCAACCTGTCTCCAGTTGGGAAGGCTACCATCCTATTGTAATATTCGATAACTCGTGTATCACTTAAATGTGGTATACGTTCAGTTTCATGGTGGATGTGGCACGTAACTGCTGCGACTATAACAGTGCTGCTGGGCGAGTAAGTCATCCACCACTTTTGGTCATCATTCTTGTGTTTGGTAGATATCTATGCATGCAGCTGGAGAGTCGGGAGATCTCTTTGGGAGGAGGCAACGCTGTGTTGGAAGGCCGGAATCCCCGAGGCGGACCCGCGAGTGGTGGAGTAGATGCACGAGTTGAATTGGACTCTGTCTAGTGATTGTGAAAGGCGGTTGGTTTTTATAGTAATTGTATAGTATTGAACTCAATCGATCTGATGGTATTTTGTTGAGTAAACGATGAATGATAAAGGGAAGTCTGTTCGCATACGTAATGCTGATGAGAAATATTCATTACGTTTGGGTTTGTTTCTAATTGCTTGTTAACAACAATAAGTAGCTGATGATGTTGCTAATGTTAATTGCTTGTCAACAACAATAAGTAGCTGATGATGTTGCTAATGTTAATTGCTTGTCAACAACAATAAGTAGCTGATGATGTTGTTAATGTTAATTGCTTGTCAACAACAATAAGTAGCTGATGATGTTGTTAATGTTAATTGCTTGTTAACAACAATAAGTAGCTGATGATGTTGCTAATGTTAATTGCTTGTCAACAACAATAAGTAGCTGATGATGTTGTTAATGTTAATTGCTTGTTAACAACAATAAGTAGCTGATGATGTTGTTAATGTTAATTGCTTGTTAACATCATATCTATTTGATGGGAAATATTCAGTTTGTTCGCTCTGGACGCTCCTCCGTCGCGACAATGGATCAGTGCACGGCAGCTGGGCACGGTCGGTGTTGGTATGGGCTTCACTATACCCCTGCTAGCTTTCCCTGAATTGTCACTACTCTCTAATGGTCTACCAGATGAGATGGCTGTGAGTGCTTCAGAGGAGCCCTCGAGAGGCATTAGGGCTCCCTGATAGTCTTATTTAGGAGAATAAGTGGCTGTCGGCAAGTGGGAAAGGTTGTCTGTCGGTGTGGGAAAGCATTGTGATTAGACTATCCGAGACGGCCGGGTATTCGACAGGTGATCATTGTTGTCGAAGGTGTGGTATCACTTCGGCATGGTATCATGAAATTTGTGTGCTATTATCACTGATATTTTCAGTGATAGTAACAGATAAGAGCTTAACAGCTGTGAGCTGAGGTTGATGAACTTAACGATGCCATACAAGGCTGAGGTCGGTTCAGTCGGCCACCCTAGTAGAGCGCGGCTTGGTGCTGCCGTAGCCTAGCAGGCCTGTCAAATTGGACTTACTAATCGATACCTCGGTTGTTGGAGATAAGAAGGCTGTGGAGAGGTTCATGGAGTTGTAAGTGTACGTACCGATGTATATGTGAAGTTCTGTGCACTACACGCCTTAGTCACTAGTATATGACAAGACGGTATGTAATGGTCAAACTTTGTCCGCACCTATCAACTTCACAGTGGAGTCACACACTTAGTTTGTTGGGCTTACGTTGTTCATCTAGCTCAAAATGCTGTTCTCAGGCAATGGACAGGTTCCATCATGTTTCAGGTCTTACGTATTCTGACTTCTGGCGAAACATTTCGGAGCGCCCATTGCCAAGGTGGTTTCTGACTCAGAGAGTACCAGCATTAATATCACGTGCCACGATGTTATAACGTGTGGTTTCTGAGCCGTTTTCTGAGTTTTGTTCGCCCAATGCGAAACTCCATGTGCAGTTTTGGCTATCCTGGCCTGCTGCAACATGTTCAGCTTCCCGTAAGTATCACTATTGCTCTTATCGATTTCGATCTGGTCTCAGGTCGAAGGCTTGGCGATGGTACGTAGAACTCACCGTGTCAGAGAAGAACCTGTTGTGGGGGATACAAGGAGGTGAGAAACTTTCTCCGGCTTAGTTGTTATTTTTCCCTCCTCGCTTAGTGGTGATGGGATCGGTGATAGGAGCTTATAAATACGTAGATAAACAAGCAAATCGGACGAGTGACCATCTGGAAATAACCTACTATAAGGTGGGAAGACAGAGACTATAATCGACGAGTATTGTGGTTTCCCAGGTGGACCGATCGAAAGTAAAGGAGTTCGAGTCTGCATGGAACGAATCAGCTCGGCTGGCTCAGCGACAACGAGGTATGCCCTGTGAACTTTGCTAGTATTTACAGTGTCCTTATTTAGGTTATGAATGGACGCGAATGTACAAGGCAATTGCTTGGGAGCAGTCGCCTTTCCAGTAGCACTAGCACTATGGCTAGGGTGGATGTATTGTGTGCATGCTAGATACCTGTGTATGCGAATGTGGTCGCAGAAAGTTGATAAGGATTATTTCCTGAGACATAATAAGAAGATTTATGACGAATTGGAAGGGCGAATTGAAGGTAAGCTAGTATTAGAAGCGTAGTTGTTATGGTCATTTCCAGCGGCAACTGAAGGTAAGGAGATGAATGTTTACAAGTATGTCGTTGACGATTCCATTGTGAGAGTCATTCAATGATCCTTGTAAATACTGTGAGGCATGTTTCAGGAGGTTTCCAGTTCTGTGTTCAAAGTACACTAGCCTATGAAACCTCTAGCCTCCGAATTGTGGCAGGGCGCGTGTCGACTCTCGAGTGCCATCCGGGCACTGCGGAGGAAGACACGCAAGGTACACTAAGGACACTCAGGATAGTAAGCTTCTGTCGTCAGCCACTGAAGCTTGCTGCCTGGAGTGCCCCTAGGACCTACATCGGAGACCTCGGTTAAAAAAATATCACGCTTAACACACACACTACTCCAGGTTGTCAAGACAGTCTGGTTTGTGTGACTAGCTTAGCAGATTGGAGGACTTAGATTGTCTTCTTGTGCCGGCCGCAATTGTGTCAATCGCTCTCCCAAACCAGGCTTCGTCGAAAGACAACTCTCTGGCACGATTTCAACCGCGAAGAAGCTGCGCTTTTCCTAAGCATGAATTGCGAAATAGCGAGTGTGCTATCATCTTGAACTTTCGTATTGGTTCATTA